AGGTCTAAGAGAGAAATTCCATGCAGAGGCCACTGCTAGACAAGAATCAAAAGGAGCCTCCCTGAGGTGGCAACAGTGATGCCATCCCCTAGAAAGCCCAGAATGGGAGGCAGTGTACCTACCAGTGTTGATGGTCTTCTTGATGATAACGGCTACTTGCCCCTTGAGCACGGAGCCCAGGAGCTTGACAATCATGACCAAACAGCCACAGAGCATCAGCAGGGAGGTTATAAGCAGGATGATGCCAACAAAAAGGTCCAGGAGGTTGGAGTTCACAAAGATGTGTTGGCCTGAGGGGACCGTGGAAAGTCCTCATTAGGGGTGCATGGAGACCCCCAAAGCCACAGATGGTTATTTCTTCCCCATTTATTCAAACCCAGCTTATTCTTTCTCCCTGACAGTCACAGAAGCTTTGTCATTAGCTATCAGCTCCCCACAAAGCCTGTCCCAGTGGCTGGTGCTGTGAGTTCTACTCACATTTGGCAATGTTCTCCTGGTGGGTCACGTTCTTGACGGTCCACATGTGGAGACCATCTGTCCAACAGAGGGAGGGGGAGGTGCAGTTCTCAGTCGAGGGGATGGTGACATTCATCTCAGTCTGGATGACAAACATGAGAAATGGTGTGTATCATCCATAACACTCATTTTTGGTGGGGGACAGGAGGAGACACACATAAATGTATGCAGCTGTAAGCGTCACGCGCTGTTTCCACGGGCCCTTCCATAAATGGGAACAAAGACAGCCAGAGATTCTCATTGCCCAGTTTTGATTTTTCAGGAGTCCCCAATTTTTCCTTTTCCTTACCTTTTATTTGCCCGTTTTGAATGAAAGGATTTGCTTAAAGTACAGATGCAAGAGTTCACCTGCCCAGCAATATTCTTAGGAACTTACCACGTTGGTTAAAGTTTTGCACCAAATCTTGATCAGGCTCTTGTTTTGGGATGCTGCGTCATTCATTGCAATTTGGTTGATAACTTTTGTATCCAGCTGAGGAAGGTAATAGACAGAAGAGAATCAGCACACCTTCAGAACTGATGTGGCAGAGACACATAGGGGCTGCTATCAAGGGGGGTTTGGAGGACATACAGACTGTGAGCTCCTACAGAGGTGAGCTGGGACTCACGCTATCTGCGTTCCAAGGGGGGAGCCCTAGACATTATCAGGTACTTGACAAATAAACGAATGATTGTCTGAACGGTGGACTGGTATCTAGAAAGCGTGTAGCTATTCACTGGATGACTGAATGACAGAGAAAGCCAAACGGTAAGCATGAAAGGGCAAAGCCTAAGCTGGCCTTTTCTCCCTAAGGCAACATCCACAGAGCCTTCTTTCATTTTAACAGCATGGTCATCCTGGGGTCAGTAGTGGGAACAAAGCTTTCAGAGGCAGCCAAACAGCAGTGTTTATAGGCCCCTGTCCTACCCCAACGGAGCGGGATAAAAGAGAAGCGGGAGGGACTTAGCCCCTTTCCCTCAGAAGGAAGCCAGGATACCTGGATAATTAGCTTCGTTAAGGGATCCGTGATAACTTTCAGAAGTGCTGGGGCATCTTCTCCATTCTGGAAGTGGAAGGAGTCCACCACCAGATTGGTCAGGATCTCCAGGTAATGGGTGACGGCCTCCAAGGGCAGGAGTACCAGCACGGAGAGCCAGTTGAAGAAGTCGTGGATGGTGGCCCCTGCAAAAGCCCTACAGAAGGGACCCCACCCCAAGCCAATAGCCAGATTAGTCAACTTGAGTGGGCACCAGTCTTGGCAGGTCATTGCTTGTATTGTGTTGTACACTTATCTATGTACATTCATACGTACAATCTCATTTTTTGTTCTCACAGCAATCCCCAATGTGGGTGGTATTAAATATCCCCATTTGACAGATGAGGAAACAGGGCCAGCAAGCATAAGGGGTTTGACAACCACTGTATGGGGGCTGGGTCCAGGAC